AATGCGCTCGGGACGTGCCTCAATGCCCCCCCCCCCCTCCGTCTTCAGACACACCCTCCATTGTCTGGCCCCCGTCCATATCCCCGCCGCATCCAGCACCCTTTTGCAACCCGACAGAACCACACAATGCTGCCTCAGCCACACCTCCACGTCCTGATCATACAACGCTTCATTATAAAGGAACACGGTCACAACCTTTGTCTCCAGGTCCGACAGTAACCGCGTCCTCATGGACGTCAGCGGCTTCTCCCCTGCCTTCCCCTCGAAACGGGCAAGGAAATTTTGCAGCAGAATGTTGGTGTTGAAGCTCACATTGAACGCCCTCCCCCCCGGCAGAGCAATCAATCAATAGAGGTCCTCCACCTCCACCCGCAGCATCCCAAGCACCACCGACCTCACAAAGGTCGTTCTATCCAGTGTCACCTCCTCCTCCACGTCGTCCTTGAATTCCACCCTGACGCAGTTGTGCCTCCTGGCGTGCGTTGGCGTCAAGCCCACCCCGGCTCCACTGGGCCACCTCCCCGCTCCTTCGCTGGGTCTCCCCGCTCCCACCGGGCCAGCGTTCACTGTCCTCTCCCTACACTGCCCCTCCCCCGGCCCCTGGGCTGCAGGCGCCTCTCCTGCCCCTTCCTCCCCATTCTGGTCGGGGACACTCCCAACCCATCCTCCCGGCGCTCCCCCTCGTTCTCCTCCCCGCTCCTCCCTCCCCGCACTCTCCAGCCCATCCACCTCCTCCACTCCCTTCCCTCGTTGCGCCTCACCCAACATCACCCCCACAACAGACGGGCCCGCGCCACTCCTCCGGTCGCTCTCAGCACCACGGGCGCCTTCCTTGGTCCGCGACGTGCGCCACGACTCCGTCTCCATCCCCGCCATCTCCATGTGCCCGCTGCAGCGGGGTCACTCCTCCCGTGGCGCCTGTGGCTCCCCCACCCTCCGGCAGTAAGGCCACCCCAGACCTCCCGGCCTGGGGCCCTCGCACACCCCAGGGTGGCTGGAGAACCCATGGGACACCGACGAGCGCCGCAGTGGTGCTTCAGGAAGAACAGGAACAGGAACGCATTTTACTGGTGATTACTCCAGCAGCATCGGGCAATTCGCCTGAATGGTAAAGCCCTCGCTTGCTCCCGGTCGTAAATAGAGCAGCAGGGTGACGTCATCATTTAACTCATTTCAGGTGCAGTGATTTGAGGTGGAGGGGGGGGGGGGGTATTGTAATTATATAATCGATTGGTAATCAGTCAATGGTTATGATTAGTAATGAGTTGTAGATTGGTAATTAGTTGTAATGTGTTTTATTGTGTTTATATGCTACGTTAATAATCCATTAATTAGTATGTGTTTCCCCTATAAGGAATTGTAATATGTATTATTTAATCATACGCTTCCAAGCCGCACTAAGCCTGTAGCTGTCAGAGCGATTAAAGTTATTTCTATTCCTCTCAATTTCAATGGATTCTCTGATTAGTCTTTGCCAGTAATAATTAGTTTTACACAACACTTCAACGTTATCAAAATCAATTGAGTGTCCTTGTTGACAAGCATGTTCTGCCACTGTCGACAGTTGTGTTTGAGATAATTTAATATTTCTTTGATGTTCTTTTAGTCTTATGCTGATGTTGCGTCCCGTCTGTCCAATATAGCATCTGCCACATAAACAATTAATCCGATATACACCTTCTGTTGATAATTTAGGTAGGGCGTCTTTAGTGCAAGATACTAGTTTTTGAATGTTGTGTACTGTACCAAATCTTACTGTAATGTTTTGCTTTTGCAAAACACGGGCTAATTTGTCAGTTACTCCTGAGATATATGGAATTTTAATTGTTTTAACAATCTGATCGCTTTCAGCAGTACTGCTTTGCGATCGTGATTTGGCATTCAGTGCTCTGTTAATTTGAGCATTATTATAGCCATTCTGTCGTAGTGCTGCCTTAACGTGTTTGATCTCTCTCACTAGACTTTCACCATCTGACACTGTTTTAGCCCGATGTATGAGCGTCTTGATAAGAGAGGATTTCTGAGCTGGATGATGATGTGAATCTGCATTCAGATAGGCATCAGTGTGCGTTTGCTTTCTGTAAACGCTGTGTGTTCTTCTTCTTTGGTTCTTTTTGTGTGTTCTTTTACCATTTAGGCCATGTCCAAGTAAAATATTTAGGAACGGGAGTGTGTTATTCACCTCCATTTCCATGGTGAACTGGATGGCCGGGTTTTGTGCATTGAGATGATTTAGAAAATCATTAAGTGTATCTTTACCATGTGGCCAGACAACCAAAGTGTCATCCACATATCTAAACCAAAAAGATGGTTTTAATGTGCTCGAGGCAAGTGCTCTTATTTAAAAGTTTTCCATGTACAGATTTGCTATAGCACATCCGAGCCATGCTGGGGCCATGCCATGGCAGCGTGGTGATTCTCAAGAGGCATGAGATACTTTTCCACTGCACAAGTTGACCCATGCTATTGTTGTCACATGCAATTCTGGATATCAAGACGACTGTCGATGACGCAGTTATACTGAGTTGGGTTGACTGATATCACGCTAATTGTGAATCAGACATGCACACACAAGTATACTTTACACAACACTCTGCGCTCCTCTTTGGGCTGAGAGGTACCACACCAACGAACATGTTAAACATTACAATGAGGATTGTCACCAGCAAAATAAAGTTAAATATTTTACTCTGGCTCTCTGTGCTCTAGAACATGTCTCTTATAGATGCCTGCAAACAGCAAATAAATATTCATGATTACAGCTGCATTTAATCAATCAGAGAAATGGCGAAAGATTTGTGTGAACACTAATATGATTAAGAAGCATCGGATTGCTGATCCCACTAAAAAGAGATTCAATCTACCTTAAAAACAATAGTTTACATTTAACCAAAAGTATGTAAATCATGGTGGATCAGCATTACTACTTTCACAAGTACAAATTGAAGACCATGGCATGCAATTGCAGAAACGTAGATCATATAGTGAACCATTGCCCTCCAAAAATGAAAAACATGCTTTAAAGAAACCCACCACCCATCAACTGAAGGCTTTTCATGCGTAATTAATTTAGACGTAGATTTGTAAGTTGCTATTCATTCAGATAGAGAAAAGAGAAAGAATCGGAGGACAATTCTTCAGAATGACAACAGGTGGAAAAAACCGAGACAAAGATGTCAAGACATTATTTATTTTATAACACGCGACTATCTATTGCGATCAGAATTTCTGAATATTTACTCAGAGACAGCAATGTAGTAAAGCCCTTTGTCAAACTGATGTTAGATAAAGACTCAACCATGCCGTTTCAGTTGTGTGTATTGTTTGACCGTACATCTCCACGCTGGTTCGTGTGAGTTGGTGAAGAGGGGAGGATCTGGACAAGACCAGTTCAGATGCCAGTGATGCTAGCCGTGGCTGGTCACAAACTCACATTGCCAGGATCATGGAACATTGCGCAAACCACTGCACCACCTTTGCACCCCCATTTCTATGTCAATCTACTGTGCTTCAAGTATTAAACAGGTTGATTTTCTTACAAAGTGCTCATGCGATGTTTATGTCATAATAATGAGCCAGCATAGCCGAGATTATGGATTATATACCCCAAGCGCAAATGGTTGCAGGTGGATGGTTTGGAGGTGATACCAATTCCAACTTGAATTTTGCAGTTCATACAATTCATGCAGTTTCTCAAAACAGCTCAGCGCGAGTAAAACATTCCTAATATTATGGCTACATATATATTAATTTAATTATTTGACCGTACCATCTGAAAAATCAAATACAGCTTTTTTTCACACTGCAAGGCACCACTCTGAAGATCCCATTGGAGTTAAAATCAGGTTCTTCTGTGTTTTTGCACAATTGTAAAAATGTGTTTTCGTATTTTTTTGTGGATTGTATGAAATCAACAAACGAAACCATAATTATTTTGTACAGTACAGATGTACAGCCCTGTTGTCAATTGAGTCGTGACATAGCCAACACGGTGGCGTGTAGCATAGTATGGACAGACGTCTCGCAAAAAACATTACCAATCAGCAGCGTGTACAAAATTATTTGGCATGTGTTGTGACGGGTACTGCAAGATCTGATAATGTTCGTCCGGTTGCCAAACGAATAGATTATAAGGTCGCACTTAATACACACAAAGTGCTTGCCACAAATTAACCACAATGCCTTGCTGATCTCAAGGAGCATAAACCATCACACAAACTCTGGTCATTATCGCAGTGGCTTTTAGCGAGCCATCGAACAAAGTCGGTCACTGCATCACGAGCTTTCAGATGTGCTTGTGCGGCCGTCTGGAATGTTCTTCCTTTCGATATTAGCAAGCCACTGGATCTATGCACATTAACATGGAGAATGAAAACTTATTTCTTTAGAACTGATTTTTGTGCTAAGTTTTTTGTCCTTCCCGCGCAACTCTGATTCGCACGGTTGGGTATGTGCAGTGCGAAAGAACTTCAACATACATTTATACATATGGATTATGTGTGTTATTTAGCTAGATTGCACAACTTTAGTGAGTGGGGGCTGCTGAAGAGGGGTTGCATAGATTCACGTGACAGCAACGAATCTTGCTACATTTTCCCCTATTGCCCACCACAGCATGTTAAAATTAATATATACTTTGATCCATCAGGCTTCATTGTGCATATTTACTTCATTAAGCAGATCCCTACAGGAAAGCAAATTTAGCGTGGCAATGACCAGTCATCACAATGTTTGTGGAAAGCTCTCACCTACAACATCTCGCTGCCTGGAATTTGTTGAATTGGCCACGCTGCTGATGAGACTCTGAAAGCATAAACCATCCCCAAGTTTCAGGGATGCTCCCAAGTGTAAATTGGTTGACGCAGTGATATAAAAGCATAGGAACTGGTGTCGATGTAACATTATTTCAAAGGGTGATAATCAGTAGTCTTAGCAATGAATTGTATATGTCAAATAATATGCATGCTGAATGTTTGTTCTCTGCCATTTGCTACCTGCAGAAAAAAACATTACAATTTCTGCTGTAATTGGGAGCTTCATTATTTTGTTGGTGGCCTTATTGATTTATCGGAAGAAGAAATGCTTATACCCCTTTGGTAAGAAACATTACAGCATTTTATGTAACTTGCATTGTTTCATAATGAGCCCAATGCTTCATGAGTGGCCCATCCGTGATTCATGAGACAACTAATAAGGGCTGTAGATTAATTGGAAGATTTCCCAAAGCACATCACAAAAAACTTGAAGGAAAATGGGCAATGTCCAAGATAAGACTCTGCAGTACCCCTGCTTATTACAATGTTATTGAGTATAATTTGCATAATGCAAAATATTCACTTAAGTTTCTAGTCAACAATTATGAATGTGATGTATCTCAATATCGACACCACTATGTATATATAATAATTGTATTGTGTTGATTTGTTTCAATGTTTTCTTTGTTCGTGCTGCACACTACTCTTCAACGTAACGAACGTCAACAAAATGTCACCAAACATCTTCCTAAATATTTCAAAGACACAAAAACACCCCACAACTATAAATGCTTTATGGCCACGCCAAACTTGACAATTCATTAGGACCTTCAGAACCTCAGAAAGTCTAGATTAATATCCTGGAACCCACTGTGAGATCGAGCATAAGCTCTCAAAGTGCCCTCATTCAACTTGAGTCCTGGGAGTGAGTCACCTGCAACACTGGCAAAGTCCCTAACCAGCACAGAATCACAGAGTTCACGGAAAAAACTACCAAATACAATTTGCCCTGCACAAAATCGCTTGTATTTATCTGAATCAGAACATCGCACGGCAGATGTGGCTATATTATGCACTGAAAATTTAAAAATAGCACACAGTGTGATAGCAGACACAATCTCAAACCTTGGAGTCTGGCACTACCCGCTTTAAAAATTTACTTGTAGAATTTCAGATAATCATCAGACTCTTCCAGCAACCGTTCACTGGTTCAGCAATCACGACATAAATTTAGCTGATCAGCTTCCACCCATACGAAGGAAAATGTGTTACTCTACAATATTAATGTACATTGATACTGTCATCCAAGTAATACACTGTTTAACTGCATGCCTATACAGGTCACCATAAGTCGATGGGGATTACCTGTAAGCAGATAATAACATTTAATGTTATTTTCGTGCACACAAACGACAGGATGTACAAGAACAATGTGCATGCATAATGTGCGTTGATTAACATATGAATAATCCAACCAGCAATGCATACCCATTATAATGTATATGCATTCCTGGCCTTCGCAAGCGAGAGGCTCACAAGTGAAGACATCACATCTATTCCTCTATTTAAGAACGAAACAGGAGGATATCTCCACAAATCTGGCTGTCACCTCATGAAGCTAGTTGTCATTATTGGCGTAACGTCGTACTCAGATTGTAAATGTTGTGGATTTACTCTCCAACACCCCGATGTGCTGCACTAGTAACGAATTGGCATGTTTTGTTTACGTTTCAAACTTTACCAATTGGCTGTGTCGGGTGGTGGCGGGTATAACGACGCATTTATATTTATGCGATCTAATCCAAAAAAGCTGTATTATGGATCCAAACATCTGCTTCACATTTAGGACCAGAATTCCATCTTCATGAAACAGCTGACACACATTACCTTGGAGATTTTCCACATTGCTAATAATTGTGCATTTAAGCACAAAATCTAACTTAAATAAATGTTAGTCAAGATATCAGAAACAGTATGTTTTAATCTAGATTTGATGTTTGCGTGGCTTCAGGGATCCATACTCTTTGGTTCTTTCAGTAAAGTCACGTAGGTATAAAATAAAATAAATGAAATCACGACGTTTCGATTGCAACAGAAGCAATCATCATAAGGTGGGAAACCCACAGCAATAAATGTTTTGCTGAAGTGGGAGAGAGAGAGTTGCCGTGGTAAGAGGTTATACAGGCCAGGAAAGTGGAGGAGCAAGGGGGGGAGAGGGAGGGGTAGGGGGTGTGGGATAGGGAGAGTGCTGCGTGGTGTAGTGGTACCAGGCGGATATGATAGACGACAACCACTACAAAGCAGTTATATATACACTACAAAGCAGTTAGGGTTTTAGTATGTTTTAGTCGGAATATTTGGTTGATAATGAGAGCTTGCATCATGCACAGCAGATTAATTAATATAAAAATAATAATTGCTGTACAATTGTTTCAGTGGCCATCTAATGACTGATAACAGCATCCTATAATCTCACACCTGTACCGTCACTATGATCACGTGCCTTGCAATCCTTTTTACTCCACGTTTTGAAGTTTACTACGAACAGAGCAGGTTCACTTTTAGACACACTCCCATAATACCATAGTCATAACAGCATAACGCATACAGAATCATCATTAGCAATGCTTTCAGTAGATGCTACTGAGTGGACATGTGTCACGTTGTCTTCTTGTACGGGAACAGGTGATTCTGGCAAAGGGACGGAGACTGTGGCACTTCTTAGTGTGAAAGTGCCCAAGGATGTCCTTGAGGTAAGTCAAGCAGCATATGCTGGGGCCTGGCTCCCATGACATTGCATCACAGGAACTCATGTACTCTTGTGGAGCCTTCCACTGTCTAATTGTGGTGTGTAGACTCTCCAAGAACTATCTTACACCTACTTTTGGTGTGGCGTTGTGGTTTGTGGTGGTGATTTGGTAGGGTCTTAGAGGGTTAGCCGAAGTATTTCCCATCATGTTTTTCAAGACTTCCCTGGGACTCTGCTGGTGCTGGGACTCTGTTGTCTGAATGTTGCCCGATTGTACTTGCTGTGGTCACTGTTTGTCATGTTCCTCGGCCATGGATCTTTCGTATAATTTTTCTCTCTTTTTCTTACTCTGTCTTTTGCTCTATTTTCACTTTTTGCATTTCACTGCATTTTTAATTCGCTTTGAGATGCTGTGGCATTGAAGCTATGAAGACAGATCCTCATCCAATATCAGAATACGAATGTATTGCCAATCGCAATATATTTTCCAATGTCTCAACTACATTTACTCATACAACAAAACCTCCCATGTCACACATTCAATCGCAGCTATAGCTGGAATGATGAATCAATTAAATGTATCCATTAACTATAATATTGTATTGACTACGTTGCTGTGGTCAATTGCTCTGGCTATTTAAAACTGGCAACTGCCCCACTTAATGCCTCCCGAAGATGGGAACCCAGTATACATTCAATGTTGAGCCAACGTTGACATGTGGATGGACCGTTGGACCAATGGTTCCACGCTTACTGTAAATTTCCATACAAGCTCCACTCTGTGACGCGGCTGATGATGCAATGTAGATCACCAAGCTCCTACGTCACTTCCCACCCAACAGCAAATATGGGACCAGAGGTGAGATGTGTTTCCAACTTTTATCTGCATAAGCCAATTCATCACATAATCAATCCAATAACTGGCAGAGTACTCCGAAACAAATATAATATATTCCCCAAAATAACTGGATATCTTAGCTCTAATCAGAATCACTATAAGCATGCATCTTGCTGTAGATACATACGTTCATACAGTATTGGCACTGGAGAACTGAAAACTATCAAAGGAAGATGTATAGTAAGCAGTGAAACTGTAAAATGATGCCTTTTGAAAGTCAGTTATCACCTTTATAACAATTGTGGGATCCTGGACAAATATAGCTCAATGCCTTGGGTAGTCCTAAACCATTAGAGGAAATTCCAGATTACAATGACAGGGGCATTTATCCCTTTACAGAAATGTAAGTGTTTCAATAATATGCACCCAATATGTAACTCTCTTTTAGCAACTCTGGAGGAAGGATGTCAAATAATGCAAGAGTAAAATCTACAACGATAGAAATACCATTAAACAATTCCCATTGTGCCTTCTTTCCCATGTGGACAGGAGCCACGAATGCTCATCGAGAAGAGAATGAAGTCCAGTAATGCTGAGGTTTGGCGGCAGTTCCATGAGTTGCTGCCAGAATTGTATAAATCCATCTCTGAAAACACATTCTATTTCTTGTACGAGATGGATATAAAATACAAGATTAATATACACGTGTACTGTGGGGTTTATGAAATTACTGACATCTCAGCACGTGCAATCTTTATACTCAATTACGTTATTCTTGAGGGTGAGGAGAAGTGCCAAGGGCTCCTGGAGATGATCCTTGCAGGACAGAATAAGCAAACGCAGCTGCAGACCCTGCTTGACTCTGCCGGTATGTGGGATCTGATGGGCAAATGGGCCTCATTGTGAGACTTTACTTCGTTGATAATGGATATCAATACGAAAGGATGAAAATAACTTTTTTGCATAAGTTACATTTTAAGTCACGTAATTTTCTGCTAGGTATGGTTTTAATATGCATTACAGGTAAAATTAGTATTTAAAAACTCGTTAATCATGGATATCAATACGAAAGGATGAAAATAACTATTTTGCATAGGTTACATTTTAAGTCACGTAATTTTCTGCTAGGTATAGTTTTAATATGCATTACAGGTAAATTAGGATTTAAAAACTTGTTTTTACATAAAAACTGAGGCAATCGTATTGTTGAGTACAGACACATTAAGTAATAGTTTCAATAGCAATATAATAATATAATCTATGCTTCCATCTATTTTTTTCTTGCTGAATAGGAGGCGTTATAAATCTGGGATTCATTTACTGAACTCTGGTTGTGAATGTCTGTTCACATGTTTCACTGGTTTCATTGCAGTAAAATGCTCTCCAACTCTTAATCCAAACACTGCACATGAAGAACTTAACATCTCAGATGATGGGAAGACAGCGGAATGGCTCAAGAGCCCTCCAGAAAAACCCGATCACCCAGATCGGTTCAAATACTGGTCACAGGTGCTGTCTGCTGAGAGTTTCTCTGAAGGATGCCACTTCTGGGAGGTGAATGTGGGGGACGTGGACAACCTTCGTGTTGGTGTCTCTTACCAGAGTATTCTACGTAAAGAACCAGACAGTGCATGCCTGATTGGATTTAACAGCAGGTCCTGGTGTTTATGGAAACACAAGAACAAATACAACGCCTGGCACGACCAGCATAGGACGGAGCTGGAAGTGGGTGAACATCCTCGCAGAATCGGTGTTGGCTTGGACTATGATAAACGGGTTCTGTTATTTTACAATGCTGACAACAATAAGCATCTACACACATTTTATGCTCACTTCTCTGAACCCCTGCATGTTGCCCTATGGGTGTGGTCTGGGGTCCTCACTATTGAGCCTGTTAACAACGATTAAATTGGATATTGGTTTCATAATTTATCCGTGGAGAATAATAAACAGGATCAAATTGCCATGCAGCTCCTCTTAGTTATTTTACATGGATATCACAGGTAATATTGTTTTCTCTACCACATGCACTGATAACCTTTATCTAAAGAATTAAAGGTAAGAAAAGATGTTACGTAAAATATACTTCTCCAAACGTAGTCATTCGGTCTTCAGATGTTTCAACATCCAAATATTTTTTTTCCAATTTTCTGATTATCAAAGACACCCATGTAACCATAATGGACAAGCTGAGCCTTGCCAAACAGTTAAATTTGCATTATAGGAAGGGGTACTATTTGCAATTTCCGAATGGCACAATGTTCTCTTGCTTTGGACTGTAATTGGTCTGCAGCACAGTCCATGGCTTTCCACATATATGTGGATATCACAGATAATATAAACATTTTCACCCATCTGCTGGTCCACCCACCCTCTTATAATCAGCAAAATTGCAGATAATAGAAACTGCCAATTTGAAGGCACAAATGACAAATGTCTTAACTGCATCGATAAGACAGTTACAAATAACAATAGTTGTACTGTATTTCCACATTGTGCAAATCAGTTGCACTGCACACCCACACATCAGTGCCACTCTACACAACATCGTTTCTGGGCCGATTAACTTCCTGTGGATCCCTTTCTCATATGCTGCGACAAGGCACAATTTCCACATTTTCCGTTGCAGATGAACTCAGCATAATTTTCTACATTGTGTCGTGTAGGCTTACACTGCATGCATACTTGATTGGTGCAAAGTTATATTAATGTGTCTGAGCCTTTGGTCTTGAAAGCAGCCCTGAAAATTGCTGGCTCGTTGGTCAACTGTTAAGGCATCCATTCTCGATCAGCAATTGTTATTGTATATAAAATATCTTACTTTTATATGGGAATTAAGCAATATGTGTTACCAGTTTGTGATTATTATTCATATATTTGAAACACGATATATGGGAAAGTAACCCCCAGAAATAATATCTCAGTCTCTGAAACCTGACATCAGGCCTTTGACTATGAATTAGTAGCAGTGACAGCAAGCACTATGACCACTTGCTGACCCTGTCAGTTCCATGGATGGCTGGAGTGAAGTTGCCTTCACTACTGTATAGCTGTTTATTTTGTGAATTAGTATTAGATATGTAATTATAAATGTAACGGGTCCAACCCATTGTGCCTTACGAATGAAGTGTGGTACAAGGGCTCGCTGAGTTAAGCGATGAACAGAGAGAACCCGATAGAGGGCGCATTGGCGTCGGCAGAAGTGGACTCAGATGCATAATCTTTAAGAGAGTTACAAGTGTTTTCCATTACAGTTAGAAGCATAGAGCTAATACTTTTGTTATATCCACCTTTCAGGGGTGGATAAAAATGTAATGATTCTTTCAACGTGAATTACTTAATGAAGATAACATTTTAAGTTGTAAATATAGAAACCGCTGCAACACAGTCTTATTTGTGCCTCGGGGAAGTCTCAGGGCGGCTGTTAATGCGATTAACTTCGCATTTTAGCCACGCCGTTTGAAACCCATTCAAGGCGGTGAAAAAGGCGCCCATGGTTGTAATTACTATGTCACAACGTTAGGGTGCACTATGCAAATAGCAGGTCACGGCTTTTGGCAGTGTCAAAGGGGTTGTGGAGTGTGGACTTCAGGGTCATGGTGACAACATTTGAGTGCTTTGTTGTTTTGTTTCGTATTTCATGGGAAGGCTAATAACATGATGAGGATTTTCTTAATTAGAACACCAGCTTTTCAGAGGTCACTCACAGCAGCCCCACCTAATGAAAATGTCACGACCCGCCACTGCTATAAGTCATCCACAGCACACACATCCAGAGAGCTCTGTCCTCGATAATATATTTACGACTACACGACTATCAAATCAATTTACAATGTAAGTTAATAGAAAATACCTGAACGTAATATTGAGGGTTAAATATATCATAATTCTGCAAGATTCTGTATACGCAAATTGATGGATTGATGGTTGCCATAAATAAACACTGGCTCATAAATCTGCGTGTCTGTGTCATATTCTCATGTTGGCACAAACACTGCTATAAACTCGTTCATACTGCAGTGTGTCTCCCTGTAGCTATCACCCTGGCTAAGTGATTCCCGTTTTCCGCACTTTCTTGCAATACCTTGATATGGGGTTATATTACTGATGTCATTCATATCTGCAATAGTGGTGAACGGACTTCGCGTGCCTTGATGCTTCCGTTTTAACGCATATTTCCTGCCAGTGTTACGTGAATGGTGCATGACTTAAATGTTGTTTGCCTTGAATGTGTTTGCTACTCCGTGTGTGCAATGTTCATCTGCTGTATTTATTTTTTTATTCCACCAAGGTCCTCCACGCGTCATGTAAAACAATTTATGGCCGAATGTTTCTTACTCATGTCAACAAATAAAATCGATTAAATGAAATCATCACCAATCTTTTCCCGCACGTTCCTGTGCATTCTTGGCCAGTTTATTCTTCTAAGCCTTGGCTGCTGTCAGAAATTCTATCGTCTGCACTCCCATGGTGTATCGCACTCACGAACTGCGTTAACAGCGGTCTTATATAGCCGCCTTTGCCAAAATCTTCTATGATCCGATTATTTGCATATTCAAGGGGCGGAGCATCCACACTTCCACGACCCACTGTCTCGTGTGCATCGGAAAATTCAAACAAAAGTGGTCGATGTTCGTCAAAAATGGGTTGCATATTTCCTTTAATCAAGAAGAGAATGATACCTAATGGGAATAATTTGAGACTGAATACGCACAATATTGAATACATCTGCAAGGGACAATACATTCAAACAATCCATGTCACTTTGACTTCGAGGTTTTGAATGTAACTGGTTAGATTTTAATTGAAAAAGTGTGCAAATACAGTGTTAATCAGCCATTCCCCAATTAGGTGTTTTCCTTTGACTGAATTCACCTACTAGCACCCTCACTACACCAAAAACTCACTCAATGAGCTTCTCAACCCGTTTCCACCGTACCCCCCCCCCCAAAGTGACACATCCTTTCGATGTGTCTGCTTTGTGTAGAAGAGTGATTGGTGGTACGTCACGTGCAAAACCACACCAGGAGAGCCCAACAATAATTGGGGTGTAAAGCATTTTATGGAAACCGATGGCCAAGGGGACAACCCACCACGTGTGACCCATGCAATAATGTAGGGAAAAATATATGAACAGTAAATTGCCACCGAGTCCGGAATTCGGTCCCCAATCCGATGGCATTCATTCTCTTTCCCCCAGCTAAATCCACGAGGCAACCTACACTTCTGTTTTGCCATGGTGCCTCAGGTGCCCTTGTGTTGCCTTTCACAACACCCTTATGAGTAAGATATGTGTGTGCAATGTGCTCTCTTCCCCATACTTTGTAAATGTGGGCCCGTTACAATGGATACCTGCACCAGTTATCAACATTAAGGTTGGCCTGTCGACGATGAGCCCTGTGTTTAACTAGACTGGATTGTATGAAGAACTCTCGGAAAACTTTCCTTTTAGTGAGCTCCTCTGGAGATAAAGATGTACTGGCTCGGTCATTTAGCGTGACCAGCCATTGCATGTCCAAACAACTCCTATTTCGATAGAAAGAGTCGGATAAATGGGCATGGCACAGGCTAGAGAGGAAATGGGCTCATATGCTACAGGATTTGGAGCAGATTGTACTTGGTGATGACTGGCACCTGTGGTGTGAATATTGTGTGTATATTTGTGTTTGAGTGCAGTCTGCATGAGTGTGTGTAGTCTGTATGGGTGTTTGTGTAAAATTTATAAATCCCACACATGCTCACTCTCCCCAAACTGCAGGTGAGGAACAACACACATACATGCAAAAAATAAACTCAGCAATTTGTTTATTATGCAAAAAAAACATCAATAGGTCTTAAATAAGGTGCATTGTGGTCTCTTGTTCTCGGTCATAGTGGAATTTATTATTATTTGGGTTCAGTAACTGACATAGAGAGGTTGACAATTGTAGACCGGTTTGTATTAATTCGGACTCATCGCTACAGTATAGCACCAATACTGCTGCGAAGTCTGCGTCTGGGAACCACATATCTAAAACCCATATTTTCTGGAAGTGCTGATGTTTTTTGCAAAAATCACAAAAACTGGGCACTTTTTTAACACGTTTTTGTGTTGCTGTTTGAAACGTATGGTTTCCCAGCCTGCACTAATTTCCTGTGATGATGTTTTTTTCCCATAATTTACAGACTGATTGCGGGTGGGGAACTGAGTTTTTGTGTGGCAGATAGAGTTGTAGGTGGGACATCAACCATGACATTTCACGGGCATATTCTCGTGCTGCATTCATTATTGTCAAGTTACACCAACTACTTCGTGCAGGCTGTAGCAACAGCACAAAGACTAGCAGACACAATTTAATCCAAAAAGTAGGTTACGTAGATGATGCTCACTCTCAATGATATTTTAAACAGAAATGTTCATGTAAAAAGAAATACATTTTGACCAAATTATGAGGATCACACAATACACGATGGCTACTTTTCATGTAATTTGCAAATTCACGACCAAAGAGAACACGTTTGTCAATTTCCATCTCGCCATAGCTTTTGGTCAATATGATCAGAGCTTTCTGCAAGGACGTTCATAGCGCTGTAAGAATAAAAGGTAAAGGAGCAGCCCTGCAATTTCTTGCGCATGCCGCTTCTGCTGGAAGAGCCCCTTTAGAGGGCATTTGGTCTAATCTTCCACGTTGGACATGTGTTAGAGTACCCACGATTTATGATTCCCACAGGACCTGCCTTACAGACTAACTGTGGTGTAGACATTTACACTGCTGGGATGACAGGTGGGGGGATCTAAGAAACTTGCCCATTGTCTCACCTGTCGTGCCCGGGAGATCGAACCAGTGACCGCTGGATTACAAGTGCTGTAACCAATACACCATGGCATCATCCAGCTGTAGCAATACCGGAATAATACTGTACAGTACTTTCTAAGTGTCTGTATGTGTCTCACGGTCTTTGTGTGTCTTCGTGTCGGTGTTTTTCTTCGTTTCCGTGCGGGTATTCGCGTGTGTCTGAATCTCATGATTAAAGTAAATGTCGCCCGCGCATTTGCTATGATCACGGGGCATGTTTTTGCTACAAATCGCGGATAAACGAGAGGAAAAGGGGCATTGGTAATTGGCGTTATCGCGGCCGTCTTCAGCTGCCGCGAATAGTCGGAGTCGAGGGTTAAAGCAAGCGCCGTGGATAAGAGTTCCCCTGTACAGTATTCAAATGGCAAGTTAAAACATTTGCCATATATAATTATTTGTCAGTCTCCAGCTTTCAACCCCTCTTATCTCTCTATCCGGCTCTGAAGAAGGCTGATTACCCGAAACGTCACCTATGTTGTTGACACTGTATTTTCATGTACGGCCACAGTGTTATTGATGCACATGTTGAGTTTTTTTGAATGTGTACAAACTTTAAGAAATTGTTTTCTTTGAAGGAAGTCATGCACAACCTCCACGGTATGCAGCTCACATTCTTAACGAAACACTGTACTTGCTTGCTTCAAATACGGTACTCTACTGGTGATTCAGATGTCTTTTGACCCCCCCCCCCCCAATTAATTGACCCCTACAATGTGTTTCCTTTGCATATTCATTTCTGCTTCAAATACATCTTGACAACAATATAGCGGTTTAGTAGAGAATTAAATGGTGATCACAAGACATCTGGACCACCACCCTGCACAGTGTTTCCAGTTTGACCACTTCTCTGAAACGACACCGAATCGCACAGAATGAGGAACTTGTAAAGTAGCTGCAGTCGCAGTGTTTCGAGATTGCTGGGTGTCGTTAGTCTAGAAACTCGCACGGTACATTCATCTTCGTCTACACGTCCTTTTGATAGACATTAACTGTGTTTAATAGTTAAGTGTTTTACACTCATAGCCACTGGTGAGCCAGCTGGGGTCTCTACTGTAGAAGTGTTCAAGGGCCACAAGGCGCATTTGCATTATATTACAGTGAAGTATCTCTAAAGTAAAGCTACATAACAGCGATATTCATCGTTAGCTTCGTGCTCCACCATTTTGACACCAAGTTTGTAACGATGCAGCCAAACCAAGTGACAGCAATGGCGCTGATCTCTGGCATCATCTTTCTTACGTTCATCTCAATGGTGAGTGTGTAATACAGTTCATACCCACTACGAGAAGACGCTTTCTACTCATCGGCTGCTCCTAATCTCTTTCGTTATCAAACATTGCCTCCCATGATCTCCCCAAGCCTCCGATCACCAATGACATCGAGCCGATGGTCTCAACTACCCGCGATTTTTCTCTGTTGCTTCTCAGTGGCGCTCAGACAATGGGAGGTTGCAACTTATTTTGGGCTGCTCTAAATATCTCCAAAAAAATACACGATGTGAGGTCTTTCATTCACGTTGTCTGCTCCTTCGGTTTCGGCTAGGCTGTTTCTTGCCGTTAATGTTTCAGATGTTTTAACTATTTAAGAACTAAATATTTATTTCGTCACTATTGTGTATAATTGCATTACGCCTCTCTTTTACTGTACAAATGAATACTCTTAATGTGTCGTCCTAACCTTTGGGACTCCGCAAGCATCAAAATGCAGGATGAAACATAATTTTTTGCATATCTCAGAATATGAATATTTATTTATACTGGAGGAATCCAATGAGCTATGAAGCTCTTTTTCACAAATGTACAGTACCTATAATGCAGATAACAAGATCTGTAGTTAAATACTATATCTATGATTGATATAACATACGTAAAAAAACGTAAGACTAACTTTTAAAACCCAACAAAACCATAATATCAAAAACATTAGGATCTCGCATTGCTTTTGTATGTCACTGCTACATAGCAGGCTGTCGCACACTCTTCCTAGAATCAGCAGCAAAGACATTTGAAATGGAAACACATGAGTTTGTTTACGAGTGTCAAGACAGAACATCTGTGAAGCACAACTGGACATGTATCAATTATGTGTATTGGGATATAAATTGTGGGAAAATCCAATAATATTGGTGTTTAATTCACAATGCACTCTTTGAACAACTGCCTCAATATTTGAGCTTAAGCTCCTCACACAGTCACGCTTTCGGCAAAACAACTTTTGGAGTTTTGGCTTTTTTTGGTCCTAAGCCCTCAGATTTGAAACGCTCTGCCTGAAACCCAACTATACCTGACCACTGAGTAGTAAAAACTACTTGATTCCTATGATGTGGTAAATAAAATAAAGATATATTTTTCTGTACAGCACTCTGAAGCCCTTTGTTGAAACTGGTGCGGTTTAGAAAACGTAAAATAATTAACATTGCTTAATACCTCGGTAAATGAAAAAAAATTCGTTCCATGACGTCACTTCGTTATCAAAAACTTTTTGCCAGAGGTAGAAATAACAAAGGAGGCATTGGGATGCGTTCCAAGACTTCAGAGAAGGCAGTACAATAGGATAGCATGGCCGCACAGTCGCCTTTACTTTGTCTGCTTGGTTTTAAAATTATCTTTAAGGTGAACTTTGCTAGCCCTAACGAACGCACCACTTCAATGTCATCTCTCCCGCCTCTACCCTCCTTATGATCTGCATTTTCGTTTCCAAAGAGAGGGATTTACGTTGTACTTCTTGGCCAGTAAGTACACTTCCATTCGAGCAGGTGTCAACAACTTTTCAAAGAAAAAGAAGAGCAATTTTATTTGTGTCTTTGACCAAAATTGTGTGAGAGCCGCATCACACGCAGAGCTACTTGTACGCAAACACAGCAGGTATACAGCAGATGCCAAATTCTGACTTAAACAAATTATGTGATGGAATAAACTGCGTCTATTTAGTTGTTGTCCCCATTAGTTATTACTTCACAGTATTGTACATTTTGCCATCATCAAGACAATACATAGTGACCCATTCCCTGTCGTATTTAATGAATTGCTAATTGTCTTTGCATTAAATGTTGTTTTTAAGATTTAAAAATATTCATCAAACGGCTGCCCGCAAGGGGGCAGCCAAAGAGCCGCAAGGGTAAAGCCAAGGAGCCGCATGCCGCTCCAGAGCCGCAGGTTGTCGACCCCTCCGTTAGATGGTCGATTGTATTACATAATGTGGGGGTAATGAAGTCATTTTTGTGACTGCAAAAAAACTATTTAATTTCATCAACACGAGGATCTCGAGCTATGGCAAGCCGGAGAGGGCGCGTTTTAAATTTCACTCTGTTGAATTGCTTTCCATGATTTCAGAAGATACATAAGTATTTATCTTCTTGCAATAATTGGGCGGTGAAGGGTCCCTCTACAGGCGACTTTATTACAAAGGATCTTCGTTCCCAGAGGAGTCGTTAACATATCTATTACTTCTAGATTTGAAGCTTTCGTGACTGCAAGGATCCATACTCTTTGGTTCTATTCGGTAAAGTCACGTAGGTAATGAAGGCCACTTGTGTTGTGGCCGAAACGTCGTGATTTTTGTTGTTTTATTTTTTACCTACGTGACTTTACCGAATAGAACCAAAGAGTATATCTATTACTTTTGATTTAAAGCTTTCGTGACTGCAGGGATTCATATTCTTGGTTCTTTCGGTAAAGTCACGTAGAAGGGAATGTTTTTATTCTTTTATTGTTTTCCTTCTACGTGACTTTACCGAAAGAACCAAGAATATATATGTATTGCTGTATTCTTTGGGTCTTTCGGTAAAGTCACGTAGATATAAATAATAAAAATGAAAATAAAGGGAATAAATAATAATGATGATTATTTTTATTGCTTTAATGAAGTTAATAAAAACTAAAAATTGTTATTTTTTTATTCACTTTATTTTCATTGTTATTTTATTTAAAAAAAATTCTATCTACGTGACTTTACCGAAAGACCCAAAGAATATGAATTCCTGCAGTCACGAAAGCTTTAAGTCAAGATTTATATGTATTACTGTATACACATCTTAAAGGAAATTATGTTGTGTTACGCTTTATTAGATTTGTATAAAATATTAACATGTTGCATAATGCATAATACAATGATATATCATTGTTCGCAACATCTTCAAATCACCGTGAGCATCAATATTAACATGATCAACAACATCAACAATAGTTGGCTTATGGCAATATCTGTAGCGTTAACTTTTAGCTGCAGAGCTACAACCCACGATCTGAAGTTTCGCTTTTGTCTAGGAAGTATAAAGGCCCATAGTAATATTTGCCTGGTCAATACTTGTCAGTGCCATGGTCTGTGATGCTCGGTGCTCTGTAAAAAGGAACTGCATCATCAGCATAGTTGAGATCAGTAAACAGTTGGTACCCAACAACCCTTCATCAATCATTCATCCTTTTTGTACTTAACTAACCCGTTCGTAGCACATATTAATAGTTTAGTCCTAGTCGTAATATAAAATAGTCAAGTTGAGTGCTGCTGGTAAATCTGAACTGGAGGGTGTGTGAGAACGGACACCAAGCTCCAAACAGTACGCTAGCTCTTATTGTAGACGGTGAAATCATATATGTTAATCCCCAAGTAGACAATGGCCTATAGTAACCAGGAGCAGGTCCGCCAAGCCCCTCCACAAAATGCGTGAAAATGAATGTCTCCCTAGGCCCTGAAAGTAAGAGGTTTGCTCTTATAAAATACAATAGAATCTAAAATATTGAACTGATTTGCAATGCTGTTCTGAGGGCTAATATGCCGCGCATTTGTGCGGGATACACGGCCTACGCGGAGAATGGGGGGGGGGGGGGTATGTGACGTCAGCAGGCACACTGCGTAACGCTTCCGCATGCGGGTGACATCACAGATGTGACGTCACCGCTGACCTTCCGTGCAATATATTATATCCATTATCCCCCCCCCCCCCCCCCCCCAATAAAAATACAAACGTCTATTTTTTATACTTTTGACATTGTGTACAGTATGGAAGCTACCCACATGCCAAATTTCAAGTTTGTACCATGTTCTGAAGCATGTTAAACATTTCGAACAGGCACACATATCCACAAATTGCCCTTTTTTATATATAGATGGATTTGCCAACTTTTAAGTAAAGGTTTTGGTAAGCCTCCTTATTCTCAGGTGTAGAATACTGTGCGAATGAGCGAGCCACTTTCTCTTACCTAACTGGAACACCTCCATCAGCCAGTTTCTTGTGTAGTTTTCTTCACTAATTTTCAGAGGGGTCCAACTTTCGCCGATAACACATCATCAGTGTGAGGACCGCCACACATTTGAAACCATTGGGGTTGACAGCAGCACGATGATGGGGGTATTGTGTATTTCGGGGGCCACATGTCAGGGACCGCACTAAAGGCCACCAGGGGCCGCTGGTGGCCTGCGGGCCTTGCAATGAAGAACACTGATGTAGGGCGATCTGGACTGACTATCCAGCACAGCCGTAGCACCTGCACGCGTCATTCCAAAATGCAAGCATTCCTAAATGCAATCAATGGTCGTATTCTTGATAGCAATGTTAACCACCGTATTGAGCCCAAATTATCGTGAGTTTTATGGTCAATAGTATATGTTAACTATTGATGTATTTTTATTTATTTAAATAACTTTTATGTTTAGAATGTATTTTTCAAGTCGAATAGTTGTATTATTAGTTAAGTAATACATTTCTTTTTTTCCTCCAGGGTAGTAGCACGAAATGAGACTGGAAAAATTAGGCATACAGTACAGACAAGACAGCCAGTACAGGCAAGGCAGTACACTTACAACAGACAAACGATACACAGTGCGAAGGAGACAGTACATTCAGACAGTAGAAACGAGGCTTAACAGGCAAGACAAATATATTGACTTGACCTTGGATCACGACAATATGCAGGGGATTTGGAGTCGAGTGAATTGTTACATGTGCAGAGGAGACTTGAGCTGGTCAAGACGGGTCTTTATTATTGACGCCAACTCATACCACGCTTACACTCCAACTTCGTCCCCTTTTACAGCCCTTCTCCCCCTTTCCCGCCAATCACCTTCTTGGGTTTTCCCGCCCTTTTATAATCCTTCTCGTACCAATCTGATTAGTGTCCTCCACTCAATCATTGGATTGCGTGTCGTGTACGGCAGTGCTCCCTCGACCCTTGACCCTTAACCCGTGGTTGTGTGGTGTTCGTGTGTGAGGATGTCTCGAACATCCTCTACACATGCATTATTGAAGAGTCATTGTTGCATATACGTAGCTGTGCCCTGACTTGTTCTACTTTAATTTCATGTTCAGGTTGAGAATAATGAATGTGAAGAGAAAGGACAATACAGAGCGGTGAATGGGTTTTGCTGCCACCTCTGCCATGCAGGTGACCAAGCAATACAGTAACATCTACTGCTCTGTGGTCAAACGTTAGCTTGTAGAACATGTGGTTTGCATATAGGCAACAGAACCAATTGATAATTCGGTCTGCAAAGAAAAGTACACGTACAATTACGGCAATACTTGCAACAGAGCATCTCTAGAATATAGCTGGGTAGGCTAAAGTTGATCACCATGATCAATGGGCTAGGTTACATTAAGTCAGCTGTTCAGTACTCAGCTGTGTGATAATCCTCACATTTACTGACATGCCATTGTTACATTATTCATTACAGCAGGCCATGATGTAAATTTAAAAAGGCATCAGCATCGAGTAATCCAATTTTGTAATGAATATTAATCTTTGTAAAAACTCGTTATCAATTAGAAAAGTATCCACATCAAGTAACTTGTTTACAGTAAAAAACATAATCCTGAAATGTAAAATAAAATTAACCAAAAGTTGTTTTCTGACCCCGTTATTATTTGAACTTGTCCATTTTACAGGATTCAGCTGGTTTCACGACTGCTATTCTGATGACAGCGATGCTCTCTGCATACCTTGCGTGCCAGGGGAGAACTACATGGATGTTGCAAACCGTGGTCCTGATTGCAAAAAGTGCAGCACCTGCAATGTTCTCTGTAAGAGTTCCACTCGAGTAGGTTTCATATGTGTATATAGATGTCATCTGAGTGTGGAGAAGCATGCATCAAAGGTTAATAAATCACTCTATGTTCAATAAAACAAAAAACTCATGTAACCAGATTGATGAGAAAGTGAGTTGTATCACCATGCAATTAGTTATACAGTGGGTTGTGGTGTAGAAAACATTGTGAGAAGAAGATAGAGGTCGATGAAATCCGAGGTTGGTTGAATGCATTTTGATTGATAGGCTGCACCTAAGATTACATCCATGAAGTTAAAGGCAGACTGAGAAAAATATTTTCAGGTTATTTCATTGGGTCGCAGCACTCCAAACAGGGCTCGCTTTACTGCAGAGGCTGGGGTCGATGCTGAAGACATGGACAGATTGAACAGAAGAATCCCCACGTTCCTCCTGTGGGCCCCAATCCTTTAGCTGATCTTCATTTATCTCAGCTTGAGTAAGGCGGTATCCATCTTGTTGCTACATAAGAAAGGGCCTCCACCGTAAATAGCTTAAAGAATATGGCTGTGACGATATTGAGCTGCTCGGAAGAAAAAGAAGAGGATGATGATGGCGCAGACAGTTTGAATCGGTACTTCCCAGTTGCACTACAGGTTCGCAGACCGTGGTCAGCAGGTACGGACAAGATGGCGAGTCGGGTTTCACACCATTTCGCTCCAGAAGTTGCAGCAATTGAAAAGGCACATAAACAAAGAGGAAATGTATCATACGTTGGAAATGTAGGATGGTCTAAGAACAGAAAAAAATACTTTAATAATACGAAAAGCTGAAATGAAACTGTTAAAAAAAGGATTAACGCACGCACAGGAACCTTGAAAGAGAAATCATATACAAAGATGACATCACTGGAAGCTCTAGCACGACCTATTTTAGAGTGGGTATTTTTAAATATCCTGGTTAATAACAACTTACAGAAAATATTCACAATTACACAGTCAAGAGGGTCCATGGCAGATTACAGGCAAAGTCACCTGGATAAATGATTTTTCTGGTCTTTTTTCTCAAACATACATCGCCAGGTGATACAAATTGAGTACTATGCAACATGAAAGAGAAGAGGCAACATCCATAGTTTATTAAACTGCCATCGCATTGGTCCCTCATCTCATCTCTGATGAACCTCCACAGGGGAGACCAGATGAGATAAACGCACCTGATCGCGCCTATGTTATTATAATTGCGATTGTAGTTCGGGTTGAGTCATGGATTCTCAAATGCCCCACTACAGGTAAATGTGACCCACTGTGATTAGCGCCTCTCATCCATACATTAGAATCAGAATCTTCATTTACACAGAAGGAATCCAATGAGCTATGAAGCTTATTTTCACAGATGTCCAGGAGGGGCAGATCTGCAAGTTCCAACAACAAACATTTATTTATCAATTACCCTGTTCTCGACAGCCATCAAAGATAATGCATGTTTCATCGTATTACCAAATTTTTATGTACAGTGTACTAAAGTTACAGCTATGTGGGACATTGCCAAGACCAAAAAGTTTTGTACATTAAACAAACAGTACAGTACTGGAATTAAACTACGTTTCCTTTTGTTCTCTGATGTGTAGATGAAGATGTTCAACAGGACTGTACTGTCACTAGTGACACTGTGTGTCAGTGTAAGGATGGATACAGTCGGCCTCATCCTTCACAGCCTTGTGAAGTTACATCAAACACAGGTGAGAAATGTCATATTCGTGTCTATAGCCTCTGTTACCAACATATGCAATTAAGCACTATTGGCATCAGGAAATGCACCAACTTGCAATTGCTAAGGAATTTTCACATCTTGGACGTCATCAAAATTTTGTCAGTAGGGCTGTTTCGAGTAGTTATCAAGGTACCAGGCAGAGCTCCGTACTTGTCCCAGCATTATGCATTTTTTAACCAACATAGCACACACATCGGAGAAATGTATACACGATATTTCCCTCACTACACGTGTCAAGCCTAAAATAGGTTATTCCTTCACCAACGACCTAACCGTTAATATTTCAGAAATTGGCAACTCCATACAAGACCATGGCTACAGCATTCCATTGGAACAATTAGATATTACTGAATCAAATGTGTTTATTTGCAGCAAGGCAGTCTAGAATCACCCATTCCCAAAGTATTTTGGGGGTATTATTTATCGAAACCTGACCTACCATTGAAGGTTGATGAAAAAAGTGAAAACCTTATGCAGAAACTCGCAGACACTAGTTGGAAATCAGATGTGCTTACACTACATATTAATCTTATGCCTGTTTTATATTTGCACATCCAAGCCATGATGGGGCCATGCCATGCCAGTGTGGTGATTCTCCAGAGGCATGAGTTACTTTTCTGCTGCACAAGCCGAGCCATGCCATTGTTGTTATATGCAATTCAGGACATCAAGATGACTGTAGACGATGCGGTGATACTGAGTTGTGCTGACTGATATCACACTAGTTGTGAATCAGACATGCACACACGAGTATACTTTACAGAACTCTTAAACATCATAATGTGAATCTTGACTTAAAGCTTTCGTGACTGCAGAAATTCATATTCTTGGGTCTTTTGGTAAAGTCACGTAGATAGGTTCTGTTGTATATGTGGTGTGTGAAAATTTGATGAAAATAATGAAAATTAAATGAAACTTGAAATGTGCCTAATTTAACCGAAATTATGTGGGGTGGTGCACGTCATACGTATCAGTCAGTTCTTCTGTCACCGTGGTGAACTGGTTCGGCTGACGTAGGTTGACACGCTGTTGCAGTTGCGGAGCTCGGTCGGTAGATGGCGCCCACGGCTCGCTCACAGCGTGCACGGTGGTGTTGAGTGTTGACCCGGTTGCGCAATCGGAGCTGGCGATGCCCGTTCGTTGCAATACTACTTTTGATAATGCTGACTCGCACCACGTAGCCTCGTCGCTAAACAGCGACCCTCGCCACCTCGGCGGGCGGCAGAGACCTCTTCCGCGTCGGCAGAGGCCGACCCACGCAGGGGCGAGTTGAGCTGTCAAGCGGGTCGATTTTATTTCAAGGGAAGGTGCTCTCTTGAGCATATGCATATTCTTATCATGTGCTGCAGGAAGACAAAGACGGCCGGGAGACTCTTTTTACCTGACCCCCGGTTTAACATTGCTCAAGTATTATTTAGCTTTAACATTAATGTTATGTATGAATTATGTACTGTGATTTCTTTAACTTAAAACTTGTTGCCTGGGGTCCTGCTGACACACTCTGCATTCAAGGCATCTCTCCCCACGTACCCTCCTCTCTGCCTGGTGTGTGCGTTGCTTGATTAGGTTTAGCTCTCCCTTGAACACAATAGCCTGTGATAATGCCTCGCCTTCTGGTGCTATCTCTGCTTTCTCACGCTCCCTTCTCTCGCTTGCACGTGTATGCCATTCGTCTAGCTGTGGTGGAGAAGTGTTGTGTACAGAGTCCTAGCTTTCCCGTGAGCGCAGGTGGCCTGTGATAATTCCTCCGCTCTCTCACACTGCGGGGAGACAAAGGCATCTCTCTTTCTCTCCGTCTGTTGTTCTTATCTTTGGTGTACCGAGGTCAGCTTCACACGGGCAACCGCAGGTGCCTCTCCCGCCCTTACTTCAGGGCTGCTCTAGCTTACGTGTTTTTCCCTCTCTAACCTTTGAATTAACACTGCATTATTATTTGCTTATGTCCTAAGGTTAGAGAATTCGTTTTGACTTAGGAAAAAATATTATTGTCATACGCTTCGGTTAGGTTGTGCAGAAACTACTAAAACTACTAAACATTCAGTATTGAATTAATAAATGGGCAATGGTTCATTGATGTAGCTCACAGCCTGGTCTCCAATTAGAGCGAGCGCGAGGATCGATAATCTTAGCCTACTCCTGTTGTTGAATTTCGAACTTTAACGTTACTTTAAAAGCAATGCCGAATAAATGGTTGAGCTTTTTGACTTAACTATGTCTGTGGCTAACGCGAACTCTCGGCGACCCTGGGCTCTGCATTTAGTCAACCCTACATTTTGCTGTGTGCTGCGCTCTGTCTGTGCCTAAATAATTTTAATTTTAATTCAACGGCCCTTCCTCAGATTATTAATTTTCGTGTCTGTGGGGTCGGGTAATGGGCAAGGACATCGTCATTTTAAGCTGAATAGTGTTAGTATCAATGTTCTGTGTGACCATGTCTTGTAATCTCCCCAACTTTATTTGTTTGCCAAGGTCTGCTGCTGCCTTCGTTAGCAAGGAATTCCCCCCCCCCCCTCTCTTATCTCTGCTCGTGCGGGGCACGCCACTTGTCCAGCCGTGGTGGGGAGTGTTGCCCTTGGAGTCCCAGCTCTGGTTTCTGTCATTTCTGGCTTACGTCTTTTCATTTATTATTTCGAAAAAATATATATCTATCGGCAAATATTTTATTTATATTAATGATGGAAAAAGGGCCGTATACAACAACAGCCCTTTTGTCAATCCACTGCTGGATGAGGTCCTGCAATTTTCATATCAGGACTCTATGATACATTCGATCCCTAGTGAGTCATGACATAGCCAACATGGTGGCATGTACCATAGTATCGACAATGCTCAATTATTGTAACTCACTACTCTACGAGACGTCTCGCAAAAGCATTACCAAGCTGCAGCGTGTACACAATTCACAGGGACGTGTCGTGACGGGTACTGCAAGATACGACCATGTTCGTCCAGTGCTCGCCGAGCTGTATTTGCTTCCGGTTGCTAAACGAATAGCTTATAAGGTCGCAGTCACTAGACACAAAGTGCTTGCCACAAAAGAACCACAATATCTTGCTGATCTCGTTAAGGAGCTTAAACCATCACAAACTCTCGTCATCCTCACAGCGGCTTTTGGATAGCCATTGAACAAAGGCGGTCACTGCATCGCGTGCTTTCAGATGTGCTTGTGCGGCCGTCTGGAACGGTCTTCCTTCGATATTTGGAAGCTACTGGATCTATGCATGTTTAAATCTAGATTGAAAACTAAATTCTTGAGAACTACTTTTTGTGCTAAATGTGTTGTCTTTTCCGCGCAACTCCGATTAGCACGGTTGGCTATGTACATTGTGAAATAAGTTAAAAATACTTTTATACATATGGATTGTGGGTGTTATTTTACAAAACTGTACCACGCTGGTTAGTGGGGGTTGCTCAAGAGGGGTTGCATAGAGGCACAGGATAACAACAAATCTTGCTACATTGTCACCTGTTGCCCATCACAGCATGTTAAAAATGAAAAAATATATATACTTTGATCCATCAAGCTTCATTGTGCATTAAGCATATTTACTTGGTTAAGCAGATCTCTAAAGCAAAGCAAATTTAGTGCGGCACTGACCAGTCGTAACGATGTTTGTGGATAGCTCTTGCCTGCAACATATGGCTGTCTGCCATTTGTTTCATTGGCCACACTGCTCACTAGACTATGCAAATATAAACTATCCCCAAGTTTTCTGATTAAATGCATGTTACTAGACAACATTCCTCTAAAAACGTCAATTGGTTGATGCACAAATATAAAAGCAAAGGCACTGGTGTCGATGTAACATTATTTTAGATGGTGATGTGTAATAGTCTTGGCATTTTATTGTGTATGTCAATAAATATGCTGCTGAATGTTTGTGTTTTCTGCCTTTTGCTGCCTGCAGAAAAAAACATTGCAATTCCTACTGGAATTGTGACTATTATTCTGGTGGCGGTGGTGGCCTTATTGATTTATCGGAAGAAGAAATGCTTATACCCCTTTGGTAAGCAACACTAGAACATTTTACGTAATTTTCATTGTTCCATAATGAGACCATTGCTTCCATGAGTGGTCCAGCTGTGATTCATTAGATTGAACAATCAGGGCTATAGATTAATTGGAAGACTTCCCAGTGTGCATCACACAAACTTGAAGGAAATTGTATGGTGTCCAATTTGAGGCTAAAAGTAATGTAGCTTATAAAAAAACGGTATTGGGAAGCAATTGAGTGATGCAGGCAAAAAATATATCTGTACAATCTTGTATAAAATATGAATGAGATGCAGCTGCATATAGACACTATGTATATATAGTATGTTCTATAACGTGTGTTTTCATAACGTGTATTAGAGAACACATTTTTGTTATAACACGGAAACTAATTGGATATAACGCGATTGAGTGATTAGGAATAAGCGGTTATACAGCTGCCTCGATGTAGCAACAAGGCTGCTGCTGGATGTTTCTAGATGCCACCCATCCGCCTCAGTCTTTGTTCAGCCTGCATACGCATTTTACGTGTCATCATGGACTGTGTTTCACCCTATATTAATAATTATAACGCAAATTTTCCATCACTTGGTATTCTTCAGGAATGGAACTACCATGTTACAGTATTGTGTTGAATTGCTACATGTCACTTGTTTTGTGCATGGAACTACTTGTTAAGATAACTGATGTCATAAAAAGGCCACCAAATATCCATCGAATATAAAAAAAGAAGCAAAATCATCTCACAATTGTACACGCATTATGACCAACCTGAAACTACCGATTTAAGAGAACTTTCAGAACCTGCCAAAGTCTAGATTAAAGTCCCACTTTTGAATTGCAAGCTCTTAAAGTTCCCTTGATGAATCTTGAGGCACAGTGAAGAACAACCTGGGGGAATGCTAAAATATCTAACAGCACTTAATCACTGACTCCACAGAAGAACCTCTCAGTTAAAATGCCCCATAAAGATAGTTGGTATTGAACTGCACATAATATTTTGATTTAAAGCTTTCGTGACTGCGGGGATTCATATTCTTGGTTCTTTCAGTAAAGTCACGTATAAGGGAAACAATAAAATAATACAAATATAAAACAATAAAATTCTCACGACGTTTCGACTGCAACACAAGCAATCATCATCAGGTGTGAAAACCACAACAAGAAAATTTGAATATCATAAGGCAGATATAGCTATCTCCAATACTCATGAAAATTTAAGAAAAATCTCGAAAATTAAATTACATCGTGTGGCACTGCTTGCGTCAGTCATTTGTTGGCGGCATTTCAGATTTTAATCCGGTGCTAAAACCATTCAACATGAATGTAAATGTTGCTGATCAGCTGCACACTATCCAAAGTAAAAAAAAAATATTCTTCAAGATAATGCACATTGATATTGTCAAAACATTTGCCGCACATTTATGGCCAGAATTCCATATTCATGAAACAGTTGAAATACATCACCTTGGTGATTTCCATTTTGCTAATAATGAAGATATATGTGCATTCTCCCAAAACATCTTGTATGAGTAATTGTCAAGATGCCACTCAGCCCCTTTATGCTAACAATCATTTTCATCATACAGAACATATTCTTGGGCCGAACTGAATCATATTCAAAATGTAATTGCAACACAATTATACATTTTCAGTAGACAGTAAATAACACTATATCAGATGTAGACATCGTATAATTTCACACCTTTACCGCCACTGTGATTCTGTGCCTTGCATTTAATTCACTTGATTATGGTATATTACTGATGAACAGAACAGGTTTATTTTAAGGCTCGCTCGCACCTTAGCATAGCCGTTATAGCTAGCAGTGCTTTTAGTAGATGTTACCGAGTGGATGTGTCACGTCTTCTTGTACAGGACCAAAGTTTACTGGCCTGGTGAAAGAGACTTTGCCTCTTATAAGTATGGAGAGGCCCAAGGATATCCTTGAGGTAAGTCACGCAGCATCTAACCCTTCCATGTCCTGCCAGCTGTGACACCAGAGTATGGGACTTGTTCTGGGACCTGGCTGGCACGGTATTTTAGCACAGGGACTCGTATTTGTGTGCAGCCTAGCACTGTTTAATCGTGATGTGTAGACTCTCCCGACATTTAAGCTATAAATTCAAATGTGTATCCAATAGCACAATATAAATTATTTTAAAATATTTTCAGGTTAGTCTTAAAAATGTACATTTCTCCATAAAATTCAAAAGTGATGTTCACAAGATATTTACAATAAGTCTCCAAGCTCCCGTGTCACATTTAATCACTAATATAGCTGATATGATAGGTCAATTAAGTTGATTTAATAAACTATAATGTGCAATTTATTTTTGGCCAAGTATTGGGATCCTTGAAAGATGCCAGCTGCCCCCACACATCGTGCTGACTGAATACCAGAAATCCCATATAAGCCACCCCAGCGTGACACTGCTGATGCAAATTGTCACTAAGAGATTGAGACTTTTTAAATGTTTGTGTTATCGATCTGATAACCAGTAGAGCTATCAATTTCAATTATATGATTGGGTAGCCCAGTTCTAATCACAAACATGCATGTATGACATGCTGAGGATTTACTCTTGGCATAGGAGAGCTGAAAGTCTGCCAAAGCAAGACAGATGAAACAGTAAAATCAGACCTTTGGAAGTCAGTTGACACCTTTATAACATTTGGGGGATATGGTAGCATTACTGTCCAATGCCTTGAGTTGTCCTCAACTATTGGAGAAAATTAAATGTTATTATTGCATGGCCATTTATCCCTAAAGAGAACTTTTAATTCTGAACACATAGCACCCAAAGTGGTGCTCCCTTTTAACAACTCTGGAGGAATGATGTTAAACAAAATTAAAACCAACTATGCACCAAAAGTTAATTTGAAACATATCTATTGATTGTCTCTTTCCCGTATGCATAGAATCAACGCAAGCTCATCGAGAAGAGAATGAATTGCAGTGATGCTGAAGTTTGGAGGAAGTTACATGGGTGGCTGCCAGACATTTATAAGTTAGTCTCTGAAAACAGCTACTTTATCTTGTACGAGATGTATAAAAAATACAATATGAATCTACCCATTTACTGGGAGGCTTACGAAACTACTGCCAGCTCTGAACGTGCAGTCCGTATTCTCGATCACTGTATTAATGAAGGTGAGGAGATTTGCCAAGGGCTTCTAGATGTGATCCATGCAGGAGAGGACAAGCATATACAGCTGCAGACGCTGCTCGACTCTGCCGGTATGTGGGCTATGAGGGGCGACGGTGTCTTACTGTGGGATGTTGCTTAATTTATTATGGATATGTTTCACTTTGGTGTCAGGCCTTCAATACTTCTGTGAATACAAAGACCTATACTGTAAACATATTTTTGGATGACGTGCTAGTTCAGTCAAAATGGGGTCCAATTTATACATTTTATTTGGCTAATCAAAAATATGTTTTCATATTTGAGCTCACAATGGCGTGTTTTGTGCGGCTAGACCATGTTTTCCATATGTAATGAGCAACTTCCGCGACACGTCGTGTAGAGGGTGCTCTCTTCTTTATTCACATTTGGGCACACCACAGGACAACCTTATCCTCTGAGTACACACGTAGATATTACCATTCCTATAGGCTACACATGGCCGACCCCACAGTGTGGTTCCGTCCGCCACTCCTGGCCTCGCCGCTGGTTGACAGCGTGCCGGTGAGGGTGGTGGGACTTCGCCGGAGATCTGCCACATGGCCGAACGATGGAGAGAGATGACAGCGAGCAGCGATGTAGTCCAGACCCAAGGCTGCCCACACCGACCACGAGTCCGCCTCCGCTTATATTTCTGCAGGCGCGGCTAGGCTCTGCCTCCGGCCACGCCCTCTCGTGTAACCTTCTAGCTGGTTCCCGGAGTATCTCAGCCAGCCCCGCCCTTTACCTATGGCCCAGATACCTCTCCCTTTGGGATTGGATGATGTTTATATAGTGGGGCCTGTATTCGTACTTCCCTTTTCCAACCAGTAGATGTCACTATGTCATTACACATATGAAACAGTGGTGAAATAAGTATGTAAATGCAGACCAACATGGCTTACTTTTTTACTCGTCGTTCCAAACATATTTTTTTATGAAAATACAATATTAAAATATGAAACGCAATACATTATAAACATGTATCATTGGTTTTATTACAGGAAAATGCTCTCCAATTCTTGATCCAGACACAGCACATAAAGAGCTTCTTATCTCAGCTGATCACAAGACAGCAACATGGATCAAGGACCCTCCAGATAAACCCGAACACCCAGACCGGTTCGATTACTGGTTGCATGTCCTGTCCTCGGATAGTTTCTCGGAAGGATGCCACTGCTGGGTGGTGAATGTGAGGGACGTGACGAATCTTCGTATTGGCGTCGCTTACGGGAAAATTCCACGGAAAGGAGAAAGCCATGCATGCCTGATAGGATACAACAGCATGTCCTGGTGTTTACGGAAATACAACAACAAATTTAGGGCGTGGCATGACAAGGAAAGCATCGAGCTGGAAGTGAATGAAATTCCTCGCAGAATCGGTCTTGGCCTGGACTATGATGCAGGGCTTCTGTTGTTTTACAATGCTGACAACAACACACATTTACACACATTTTATGCTCACTTTGCTCAGCCTCTCCATGCTGCCCTGTATGTGTGGGGAGGGGCCCTCACCATTGAGCCTGTTAATGGTTACAATTACCTTTAATGAAGTTTGAATCATCCGTAAGAGTAAAATAATTTAATACAAAAATTTCCATTAAGCTCAGAATTGTGTACAATACAAATTGTAATTTTCACTTTTATTTATTTTACTACAGTATAGAAAAGACGACGCTGGATGAAAGTTTATTTTAATGGGATGAGAAAATAACTTTCAAATAAAATATAACTATATAAGTATATATACTCTGCTGGTGCGTGGAGTCCCTAAGAGCGCTTTTGTGAGCACAAACCAAAGCCCGAAACTATTGCTTCATGGAGTAGCCAAGAGTGCTGTTGTGAGTGTAAACCAAGGCCCGAGATTGCGACTGTGTGGAATTGCTGAGAGTGCTGTTGTGAGCGGGAACAAATACCGTAGCTGATGCTGCGCTGAATCCTGGGAGCACGGCACTACCGTTGGTCCGGGAGGGAGGTCCCTGAGGCTACACGTGACCTCGAGAGTGGATTTAGGGACCCTGGGCTTCTGATGCGTTGCCTCATCACCCAGGAGTGGAGCGTGCGTAAGGGTTGGTGCGAACGGTGGGCGCGGTGGTCTGTAATTGCCCTATCCGTGTGATGTTCTGTAATCGCTCTACTGTCGCGGTGTTCTATACCTGTTTTTTTGCCGTGAGATTTTGTACTTGTCGCGGTGTCAAGGGGGTCTGTACCTGTTTTGTCGCTTTTGTTAAGCTGGTGAACTATGGGGTTATGTAAATGCTTGCTACTACCAACCATGCAACGCCACTGGGCTAGACCTTGGATTGCCACGATATACTTGTCACGATAAAATATACATTTTAATGACGTAAAAATAAACGTAATATCAGTTTCCCATAGCTTTGAAACTATAATGCACATGTTTATTGTACGAGGTGCTTTTGTACGTGTAGAGACAGTGCGTGTGTGGAGACAGTGCGCGTGCGGGGACAGTGCGTGCCCCAGCGGCCACGGGGAGTAATTACAGGGGTGGATATGAAGAGGGCGAGTGGTGAAAAGGAAACCATCTGGGAAGTTCTAGAGAGTTCAAGAAAGGGGGCGTGGCGGGGTAAGGGCCACGCCTGGGATAAAAAGAGGCGAGGTTCGGGGTTGCCCTGGGATCGGCGTCGTCTGTCTTTAGGCCGTCGGCATCGTCGTCGCTGTCTTCACACCGTCGCTGTCTTCGTGTCGCCACTTGCGTGTCATCCCTGGCCAAGTTATCTGCGTGCAGCACCCTAATTAACAAATAAAGCAACCCTCTACAGTTGATGTTGTCTGAGAGTCATTAAATATGTTGAACTTCTTTTGCACCATACTTAGCCAATCGCGCTAATTGGATGTGCGGGAGAATGACGACAAATTAAGTACAACAATCCTCTCTTCGGACATGAGCTTTCAATACAAATTTAAGTGCATAGCTCCACTGGCTTTCTATATATCCAGAAGAGCATTCCAGTGCAAATAAAGATTACTAAAAAAGTTATTCAATTGCGGCTAAACATAGTAATCTTTGAAATCTATTACGTTTATAACACCAAAAATGACTTCATAATTGTAACGCCTATGAAAAGTGTTGCATAATTGCCAATTCCTCCAGAAAACATTGAGCGTGTAAGTCAATTATGGATAAAAGCTATTTAGACCTTTTATCTTGTACTGCATTTGTTTATTTAATATTTTGTTTAGAAATTTTTATGTAAAAAATATATCGTCTAAATATAATTAGGATATAAAGATATGCTGGAAAGCAGACAATACAAATATCGCGGATCTTATATTGCATTTTCAAATCAAGATTTAAAACTAATTTCTTTAGAACTCCTTTTTTGTTGTTGTCCTTCCCCCCAATCCTCGGATTAACACGGTTGGCTACGTATGGTGCGAACAAAGTTCAACATACAATACGTACATTTCTATATCGTAGTATATCGCGGCAACCCTAAAGCCAGCTTGCTGTGGCGCAAGGGCACACAGCATCCGTCCAAGACTCAGACTCTAAGTGGTATTGTCCCAGCTGAATACGCAAGATAATTGTTCATAATAAAGGTTTCATGGGTTAGATCGCGTAAATATAAATGCGTTAACACACCACCACCCGACAGCCAATTTATTAGATTTGTCACGTAAACATTACGTGCCAATTACTACTTAAACACACGAGCGTATTGGAGAGTAAACCCACATTTACAATTTGAATACGTTTCGCTGGTGACTACAACCAGCTTCATTAGGCGATTTGCCAGATTTATGAAGTCTTCCCTTGTGCTTACCTTATTACAGACCAATTCAGACCTTATTGGTCACCCCGTGCCCCCCCCCCCGAATACATCTCAACGTTCATCCTACAACGTCCCATTACAAGGGAGAAAACACAAAAACATAAACACATCTTTTTGTGACTTAAAGCTTTTGTGACTACAGGAATTCATATTATTTGGGTCTTTCGATAAAGCCACGTAGATAGAAAAATAATAAAATATCACTTTTCGATCGCAACACAAGCAATTTCACCTGATGCCGATTGCTTGTGTTGCGATTGAAACGTCGTGATGTTTTATTTTTCTATCTACGTGGCTTTACCGAAAGACCCCAAAGAATACCTCTTTTTTTCGTTGGCCGTGTAATGAGAACGCCATCGCCTGGATTATTGATGGGGCATGTATTTAATTCTACAGCCATACTTATCCATAGTGGGGTTTATATCTGGGTGAAAGTTGAGAGGCGGTTCCACCAGGGAGGCTTCGGGAACGTTCGGGAAGGTTCCAGAAGGGGCATGGCCAGAGGCGAAGCTTATACCCGGGTAGGGGGATATAAAGGGACATGGAGAAATGCGAAGGAGTCGGTCTTGAAGACTGAAGAGGAGCCCCGCCGCTGCTGCCCCGCCATCTCCATCAACCACATGGCGGCTCGTCCTCCAGCCGCCCAGCCGCTCCTTAGCGCACCGTCAGCCAGCGGTGCGCTGGAGAGCGGGTGACCACCACGTGGTGCGGGGCAGCGTAGCCACGCGAAGAGTGGATGCCGCAAGAAGAGATGGAGATGTGTGGCTGTACAACTTAGATTTATTACCATGTCGGAGACCACTAATTTTACCCGTATTGAAACGGCTGTATGCCGGATGGACCTGAAAACTAAATTTCCCTCTACAGCAAGAAACAATTGTCAAAGTTATGCTTGTTCACACTGTGTACGTGTAAAGTACAGCCCTTATATCAGAGGTGTCCAAAGTTTTTTTTAGTGAGGGCCAAATACAGAAAAATAAACAAAAGGCCGGGCCACACACTAGAGGTGACATATTGACACATGAATACTGTGTGTATTTCTAACTCACCTATAATGTGAAGAACATTGCACTCAGTGGGAGCAGTGATGCTGTCCTTTGGATTGAAGGATGGCTGACATGTCAGGAGAAAGTTTGGTGGTTGAGACACGAAGGACTTCACAGAGATGGCTGTCAGTCATTCTGGTTCTCAGTCTGCTTTTGTTCTGATTTAACAGGGAAAATGTTTGTTCACATATGTATGTTGAGCCGAACAGGCTCATCATTCTTTTTGCATGGCGTCTCATCAGAGGAAACTTGGCATTATCCAAACTCTGATAGAAGTCAGGGAGGGAGAAAAGCTGATGTTGACTCTTCAGAGAATCATCACATTGCATTTCAATCAGTTCTAACTGCAGACTCTCTTCCACTTCTTCTGCATCCACCAGGAAGGGGGTCGAGAACAGCTTGATTTGTTTTTCAATGACAGAAAGGGGGTCGAGAACAGCTTGATTTGTTTTTCAATGACAGAAAAATCTTGGAAACGCTGGTTGAATTCTGTCACGAGAGATACAATCACAGACACATATTTCTCCTTTTTAGCAGAAAGGTCGGCCTTTGGAAAAGTAGACTTGATTTCAGACAGCGCAGGGAAGTGTGCAGCATTAAAGCTTCGTAGTTGTGTCTCAAACAGGCGGAGCTTTACACAGAAGGCTTTCATGTGCGCATACAGGTGTGGCACCAGCTGTTCTTTGCCTTGTAGGTTCTTGTTCAGTGTATTCAGATGAGTAAGATCAACTAAAAATGCCAGGTCTGCCAGCCACAGAGGTTCACTCAGTTCATGAAGAGGTCGGCACTTCTCTTTCAAAAACTGGTCGATTTCTGATCTCAGCGAATAAAACCGCTGCAGCACAGAGCCGCGGCTGAGCGAGCGCACATCAGAGTGGTAGAGTACATCCCCGTATTCAGTATCCACATCAGATAGGAAAGCTTGAAATTCTCTGTGGTACAGTCCTCTAGCTGGAATTATGTTGACAGTTTTTACAACAGTGTTTATCACATCGCCCAGCTGGAGTCTTGGCACACAGTGCTTCTTGGTGGATTATAAAGTGCATCCTAACAGCCTCACCTCCGCTCTCTTTTACCACGGCCGGAGCGCCATCCGTTGTTAGTCCACAGAGCTTGTCCCTTTTAAGCCCCATCTTTTCAACTGCCTCTGACACAGCTTCAAAAATATCTCTACCCATCGTTGTGCCTTTTAGGCTCATAATATCAAGCAGTTCCTCCGTACAGCAAAAATGATCATCTACTCCCCACAAAAAAAATTCACAGCTGCGCGGTGTCTGTGGCATGTGCTCTCGTCGCATGCTATCGAGTAAAAATCAAAAGCACAAGCTTTGTCTCTCAGCTGAAGTTTCAAGTTAGCTGACAAGTCCTCGATTCTCCGCACCACTGTATTTCTGGATAAGCTCTCGCTGTTGAAATCCTGCACTTTTTCCGGGCACATTATTTCTGTGACTTTGATGAGGCACTGCTTTATGAAATCACCGTCTGAGAACGGTTTGCCGTGCTGGGCAATAAGTTTAGTGACTTCATAGCTTGCTGTTGTGGCATTTTCCTGTATTTTGTTAGCACGAAAAAAACTTGTTGAGCTTGCAGGCTAGCCGCCATTTGCTTGACTTTCTGTGTTCGTTCGGCACCGGTGTACGATGTGTAGCTCTGTCTGGTCTCATAGTGCCGACGGACATCATACTCTTTCATCACAGCAACATCTTCATTGCAAATCAAAGGACACACTTTCCGTTGATTTCTTTGAAAAAAATATTAATTTTCCCGTGTTTGAAATTTTATACACTCACTTGCTATTTTGCGTTTCTTCGGTGCTGCCATTTCTGGTGACTCGCGATAAAAGTTTTTCTTTGCTTAATTTTGTTTAGTGGAGAAGCACGGTTATCCGTGGCTGGCTCCATCTAGTGTTGAAACTGAGAAGTGCAACAGAGTTGAGCGCAAGCTTCTTATGCGGGCCATATTCAATTATATTTTCAGAATTTGCTGCGGGGCAATAAAAACTGGACCGCAGGCCGCAGTTGGCCCGCGGGCCATAGTTTGGACACCCCTGCCTTTTATCAATCTCTGGTTTGGCCATGCAGCTGGGTGCCACAATGACAGCATCAGCAGGAATGGCCCTCCAATGCCGATGCGCCCGCACCACCAAGATCATTATCACCAAAAACAAAACTACAAACAAAAATATTTTACCAGGTAAGGCTCACTGAGCTATATAGCTGTTTATCATAATAAACATGGTCACAAATGATAGCTCAAGGAAGTAGCTTATGTCGAAATGTATAGCAGCCAAATTATCTAAATGCATCATTAGACCTCCTTTGCCAGTACCAAAATGTAATAGGGTTTTTCCCCTTTTTATGGCAACAAAACTGAAACCTTTTTTTATCTTTTTTTATCTAAATGAATGTTTATAATTGTGGAGGGAAAATCCGGAGGACTCGGAGAAAAATCCACACGACCACAGGGAGAACATCCAAACTTCAAATATACAGGAGTCAGGGTCAGGATAGAACCCTTGACCTGTATACCAGGCGAAGCAGTTAACATCTCGCCACCGTGGCATCTCACTTCCAGCAGTACATCTCACACCTCCCACCTTCTCACCATATGCACCTCCAGCACCCACAGCAGTATGGTGGGCGTCCGGCGAACGAGGATTACAACGAACATATAGAGCGGGAGCTGCACGAGGAGTTCATGGAGCGTAACTGCCAGGAGATGCTGGATGAGGAGGAGAGTGAATGATTCATCCCGTCGCGTAACCTTCGATGCCAGGCAGTCGATGAGGCAGCGGCATAGTCCAATGGTCTGAGCCTGCGCGATGACCTGGCCATCTCTGCTGCCCCTGCGCAACCGGTGAGCATTGGGAGTGGGTGGTGGTGGGGCACAAGGAGGATGGTGGCAGTGCCCTGTGCACACTCGCTCAACGACATTTCCCTGCT